TTGATGGCATTTCCCTGCCGCACGGGCTCGCGATCTGCGAGCTCTTTGATGTTCCGCCCGCGGCTTTCCGTTTTCGCAACGGCGATGTCGTGTACATCCATGACCCTCCGGAGGACCCTTCTGAGCCGCTCGAGTTTGTCGATCCTTGGCACCTGCAGGATGGCCTTGCAGCTCACCACGCTCCCTGGGCTACGGGCTTTCAACTTATGTTCGGCATTTCTGTGCACCTGCTTCGCCCTAATCGCCCACCCCTGTTGGCCTCTGTCTCAGCTGGAGAAGCCTGGTGCCCAGAATCCTTTACGTTCACCGGCACTTTCCGCAACCACTTTCCGGGCATGTGGACACCCGTTCAGTGGTCCAGTGCCCGGGCATTTCAATTGATCGAGGTCCATGGTGTTGCGGCTCAGGTTAACGTTGTTGCTGCCTCTCCCGAAGGCCGCCTCTGCCGTACCGTTGATCGGATCGCCTCGCGCGATAGCCTTGCCGATCAACTGCACTTCCTCCCTGGATCCCTGCAAGTGGGGGGAGTTCCCTCCTACGCTCTCAATCAGGCCTGTGAGCTTCGGAATGGGGATGTCGTGTTCGGCGACTTTGCCCGAGGGGCCTGCAGCGGCCGTCCACTCCTGTGGGGTTTGGCCCTGGGCCTCGTCCCAGCTTTCTCCTCCTGTCGTACGGGCACCTTTCTTTCGATTCTGCTGGGTTCCCTTGGGGCCCATTCCGGCCTTTTCTCCCGTCTTCTTATGCTGACCTGGTGCCTACATGGCGCGCAAGCTATGGTTCCGGAAACTTCGGTGTTGAGCCAGACCACATCCTCGGTTATTCCACCAGCTGCCCCACCCAGGGTCTCGGTCACTGTTGCCAACCCTTTTGCGCCATGGCATCGTGTTGAGGCCGATCCACGCCACCTCTTCGATGATGTTATGGCAGACGCCCACCGCACCTTGACATCATGGCACCGGGGATTTGCTGCCACTGGCCTGGTTTTAGAAGGGTCCCAGGTTGTTGTCCCTCTCCCGGGAAGTAGGCTGGTTTGCCTTATTGTCTTGGGTTTAGGTCAGATGCTCTGTGTCATCCTGCCGTCCTTCCTTGCCCCTCGAGACCTCACTCAGGCCCTCCAGATGAGGCTTGGCCGTCGCGTGAGCCTTAAACTCCAGCCCGGATTGGGGGCCACCGCTCACTCTGATCGGCCAGTCCTCGCACTCCGTTCTGGGGACGTTCTTGCTGTCTGCCCTCTCCAACTGGACCCTCTCGCAGGGCCTCGCGAGCCCCCGGTGTACTTGACATGGGGTGCTGCCCATGCTGCCGCGGCCTGGCACTCTGATTTTGTGGTGGCCCAAGCCTCCTGTGTGCTACTGTGGTCCCCTAGCCGTTCCGCTAGGGTCGTGTTGCTGGGCCATCAGGCCAAATGGGACGCAGCGGCAGCTGCAGTGCTACATCATGAGGTTGAGCTTGGCCACCACCGCTGGGCCCCCTGCCATGGACATCTAGGCGCTCCCCCCTGGCTCGTCGAGCAGTCTCCCTCTCAGGGGCATGCCAACATTATTCAGTCTAGTGGGGCCACAAGGTGTGTTGAGACCGCTCGGGACGCTGCGCATGATTTCTATATTGCCGGGTACTCCCTTCGACCTGCCTCCAGCCGGGCTTGTCAGGTTGCTCAGACCAGGGACGGAGACTGGTGGGTTCTTTCTGCTGCATTCGGTCTCCTGGGGAGGCGCCCTCTCCTCCCTGCCCAACTCGCTCTTGTCTTCTTCGGGCTTCTTGAACCTGTGTGGGGAGCGTCCTCCAGTGCCTCTGGCCGCTGCCCCAGCGCGGACTCTTCCGAGGCGCGTACCATCCGCACTAGGCGACGGCCCAGCAGAAGTCGCTCACCCTCCTATCCCTGGCCTGGAAGGTTCTTTCCCCCTGCCATCGATTTCAATGATGGGGAGCCCTATGTTCCGCTAGGTGGTTGGCAGCCCGATAACCCTGATGGCCCACTCGCACGTTACTTCCCTGGTCCCCGACCACTCACGGCTCGTGTTTTGTGCCCCCTGAGGGGCTGGAGCGAGACCAGCTTCCTTGACACGACCAGATCATGGCGGTCTATCGAGCAGGAAGGTACGCGCCACTGCGGGCTTTGGGCCCATCGCTTCTTCCCTGTCCGGGCGGTGCTCCCAATTTCCCAGATCACAGTTGCTCCGGTTGCCCCATACGGTCTTGCTACTGTGGCCCTGCACATTGAGGGTTGTTCGGCCGTTGCTTTTGCCTCGGTGGACTCGTCTCTCGATGACATTCACCGGCTTGCTGTTCGCGTCTTTCCTCACACCCGGTTTTGGCGCGTCATAGCACCACCTGTGCTGCGCACTACCATCCCGAATGCGCATATCCGGCTCCGCAACGGCGACGCTTTTAGCTTCCTTCCTGAGCCTTCCGATCCGGGTGCTACCCGTTATCCCTTGCTGCAGTATGCCTCTCTGGACCGGGCACGGCAAGTTGCCAGCTGGTCGCTCCCTTTTCGCTTTGACTCGGGCGGCTACGTCTGCCTGTGGTATACGGGTCGTCGATCTGGCCACAGTATTCGGATCAGGGATACCGGCTATTGGGATCCCGAGGGCCCCACCTTCTGGAGTCTTAATGGCAGAGCGCTGTCAGGGTCGTGGGTCCCTGTCCTCTCTGGGGATCTCTCCAGTCTGCACCTGGTGCACAGCACCTCCACTGGTGAGGCCCATGTCCTTCTCTTACTGCCCCCCGATCTTGAGCCTCAGGGGTTGTTGCTCGCTGGTTGCAATGCCTACCGTGCGCCACCTGGGTGGCGCCTTCTACCTGCTCTGCAGTACGTTCGGGCAGACAGTCCTCTCCGAGATGGAGATGTTCTTGTGCTGGACCCGACTGCTGATACGGTTTGGGACCCTACCGGACCGCCCCCGCAAAGCCTTGCGGGTCCGGCCCCGGGCCCAGTTGCGCGCCCACGCTGGGGGCCCTCGTCTTCTGCTGCCGCCGCCATCTCTGGTCGCTGGGCTTGGCTTGCGGTCCTTTCGGCCAGATGGCCCCGGCTTCTCGCCCTGGCTTGCTTGATTTGTGCCGGTCAGGGTATGGCTCCCGCACTGGATTTGCCGGAACAGCCAATTCGTGTGGGTTTCTTCCCGTGGCGGGCCGCAGCCGCTGCGGCTGATCTGGTTGATCTCACCAACCGCACAGAGATTGACATTGTCCTTCTTAGTCCCTTCACAGGTCCCCAGGAGGCTGGGCGACTGCCCACTGCCTCGACTACCGGAGAGCTCAATGCTCTCACACGCTCCTGTGACCCAGCTTGGGGTGCTGAAGTTGCACCTGTGTGGCCGACAGCTGCCATACCGGCCCTACTGGTTGTTCCCCGTCCCCTGACGCCAGACCTTGTCTGTTTAGCGGTCTCCTCCTTGGATCGGCACTTCTCTATCCTTGTGCCCTGCACTACCTCTGTGTCCTGGCTGGGCGCGGCTCTCCGCTTCCTACAGCCGATGCAAACTCTCTCTGTTCGTGCACCCAGTGCTCTCACAGCCGATGCCACATCTGACCAAGGCGTGCGCTGGCGATCTGGAGACCTGGTTGTTGCATTGCCTCCTGCAGCTTTTGCGCCCGAATACCAGCCCCCGTGCTTTCACTCCGACGCTCAAGTGCGGCATTGCGCCATTTGGGCTGTTGATTTCTCGGTCTCCACCCGTGTCAACTTCATACTCTGGAGGCCTGCTGTTCGAGCCATCCGGGGACACGCACCGGCAGGCAGCCGTTGGCGTGCTCTTGATTATACTTTTGATGGTGACTTTAGCCTCCACTACCCTGGGCGTTGGGTTCCGGTTCCCTGGATCGCCCAGGATCACGCCCACTTGGTTTTGCTGCCGGAGGACCCTTCGAGGGTCAATGTCATTGTGGAAGCAGACGGCCATTGCTGGTGTGCCCTTGTCACAGCCGTTACCGATGCCTGGCAACTCTGGACTGAGCTCCCATCTATCTCCTCTCAGCCCCGCGTCCTTGGTGTCCCACACCAGGAACTGCGCCAAGGGACGACCCTTCGCAGCGGAGATGTTGTTTCCGGCTGTCCAGGACTCTCCCCCTCCTGTTGGCTCCCCTGCTCTCTGGGGCTTGCAGCTTGGTGGGCACTCAGCTCTGCCTCTTCGGCCCCTGGCTATCTTCTCATGTTTGCTGGGCTGCTCGCTCTCCCCCCGGTGTCGGGGGCACGTCTTCCCCACGAGAGCGGCAGTCGACAATGGTCTTTGGCAACGTCAAACTGTGACGGGTCAGCTGCCGAACCGCCTGGCTTTCGCCACCGCCTCTGGGACCCCGCTAGGGGCCTCCTTGGACCTTTTCCGGGACCATCTCTGTTTGTCCCACCTGCTCTCCAGGAGGCCGCACCCGCTTGGTCCGATTTCACCAGGGTTCGACCACCTCAGGACCACCGGTTCATCGATTGGGTCCCGGTACCTTCGGCTCCGCTGTTTGCCACTGTGCTGCTCCAGTGCCCGCCTGCCACTAGAGCTGCACTTCTTCCCGCTACCTGTGCTGTGGCTGATCTTGCACGAGCCAGCAGCCACTTCATTCCTGACTTGTCATACGTCTTGGCTCCCCCGGAGGCTTGGTGCGGTACTGCTACGACCTGTACCCCCACCTTATTCCTCCGGTCTGGTGACGTCTTGACTCTGGCCAGCGCCACGTGGGCCCCGCGCCTCCGCTCACCCGTCGGGCGGTTTTGGGAAACCCTACTCCAGGCTCGTCAGCTAGCCTTCTGGGGCAGCCCCTTTCGCGTTAGGCAGCCTGGACTCCTCTTTGCTTGGTTTCCGGGAGACCCGGTCCCGCTTACTGTCCCCACTACCAGTGATGAACAGTGGGATCCTGAACATTGCACCTTCCGCCCTTCTCTGGTCCGGTTCAGTGTCGGCCGCGGGTTGACGACCTTGGGCTCCATCTTGTCCCTGAAAGCCCTAATCTTCATTGGGCCCATGTCTTGTCTGCCCGACCCCCCCTAAGCGTTCGAGTGGTGCCTCGCCATGGCGCAGATGGACTCCTGCGGGATGGTGACAGCGGCTCCCCCCTGGGCAGCGCTCCCTCCCGCACCTTGCTCCCGTTGCTTGCCAGTCTGGCCGTTTGCGGGCGTCTGGGTCGGCACTGGTTTTCTCTTCTCAGTGCTTGGGTTCTTCTGGCTGGGCTGCCCGAGTTGTTTCCGGGTACGGCGGCCCTTGGATTCCCGCCGATCTCCCCTCATGCCCTTGCGCGGACTCCAGGTCCTTCGCCCATTGGAGTGGATTTCGGGTTGCTCTCCCGCACCAGCTGCTATTTCCGTGCATGGGGGGCGCCAGATTGGCACAGCCCGGATGGACTCTCCTGGGCGGCAGATATTCACCAAGAGTGTGCCGCTCAGGCTTCCTTGCACCAGTTGTGGTGGACGCACGACCTCTTCCAGAATCTCCCGGCATCCGCTCCAGCGCCTTATCGCCAGGCCTTCTCTAGTTTCCCAGTATGGTCTGGCGGTGTACCCGATCAGGTTCTCATCGCCACTGATGGGAGTGGCGAGCGGGGAGGAGCATGGGCCTTCTGCGTATGGGTTTGGTGGCGTCACAAGTGGCACCGGGTCGGGTGGTTCGGCGCCGCGGGGGCCGATACCCCTTGGTTCTCTGGAACTGCGGCCCCCGGGAGTGTCTCCTTTCACGCTGAGCTTTGGGCCTTGCAGGCTGCGGGCCTCTGGCTCCTCGCTTGGGTCGACCGCCTCTCCCTCCTGACGTCAGCAGCGCCTGCCAAGGTCACCATTGCGGTTGACAATGCCTCTGCGCTCCAGATCGCGGCTGGGCAAGCGCAGGCCAGTGAGCCAGTCACCACCCTTACTCGTTATATCTGGCAAGCTGTCCAGTCCCGTATGTCCACTCGCTTTCAGCACGTGCACAGCCATGTTGGCATTCTCCCTAATACGATCGCCGACTTTCTCGCTGGCTGGGCTGGTCGGACCTCGTGGCATCCCTGGAAACATGTCGATGCTGCCCTCCCCGCTCTGCTGCAGGAGGCGGCACCTTGGCTCTGGCTCATTCCACATGCCAAGGTGGTCCAAGGCAGACCCTGGATCCGTCTCACCGCGCAGTCACTTACCCATGCACCAGCAGGTCGAGGGCCCGCTGTCCCGTGCCCTTCCACCGAGGTGCCCTGTGCGGCTCCGTCGCTAGAGCCCCAGCGACCGTTGCCGCTAGCACCCTCGCTATCCCTCCGCATTGTTACGGCTAACGTTCAAACCATGCGGGACTCTTGTGCCTCCTTCTTCAATCCGTCGGGTCATGGCCAGCGGCGTCAATACTTGTACTCTCAAGTCGCCCAGTTGGGCCTCGATGTGGTCTGCCTTCAGGAGACGCGCAGCAAAGGGGGCCGATGGGATACAGCCGGCCTTCTCACCTGGCGCTCCGGTTTCGGTTGCGAAATTTGGGTTAGGCCCCAGATAGTTAACCCCCCCCTCCGCCTGGATGACTGGCGGATTGCCTGTGCTGACCCAAGACTTTTAGTCATAGTCTGTAAACGGGCGGACCTCCCTTTGGCCGTTGTAGCGGCGCATGCTCCACACGCCGACAGACCAGTGCCCGAAATCCACCACTTTTGGTCCTCACTGCAATCTCAGCTGTGCCAGCTCCCACGGGCCCTCACTTTAGTCCTGGGTCTCGATGCTAACGCCGATCTCCTTTGGGCCGATGACGACCATGCCTATATCGGGGATGCTCTCGGTAATGGCGAAGAAGGCGCGGGCGAGCAAGGCCTCTTTGATACCATCCAGCGTTTTGGCCTCCTCGCCCCCGCCTCCTTCTCGGACCTTCAGGACGGCCCGGGCTGGTCCTGGGAGCATACTGGCGGCACCCGCAAGCGTCTAGACCATATCTTGCTCCAGGCTGGCCCCTGGTCCTGCCGTCGCACCCGACAGCTTCCTGAGCTGGACATTCTCAATGGTCGTCGGGATCATATGCCGCTTCTGGTCGAGTGCGACCTCCGGGGCCAGGCCACCCGGCCCATAGCGCCGGCCCCACCCCGCGCAACTGTGCACCAGGCACGGGCCATTGCTGCCGATCTCTGGGGAGCTCTGCCGTCCACCTTCCGGCACATTGACAGCGTGGGAGCTGAAGTGCAGGCTCTTAAGACCAAGCACTCCTGCTTGCTCCGGGCCTTCCTCGCCCCCCACGCCGCCCCATCCGACAGCCCTACATCACAGCGGCCTCTGTTGCCGCACTCGATCGAGTTCGGCAGGCGCGAGAACAGCTCCCCCGGCTGCGGACCAATCTGGAGTGGCAGCAGCGTCGCTTTCTCTTGCAAGTCTGGCGTCTGGGTTGCACACACCGGCACCCCGATGCTGCACCCCTGCGCCCTGATCCGACGGGCCTGCAGCATGCCCGCCTCCTTCTCCAGGCTTGTAATCTTCATGTTCGCGGGCTTCAGCAGAAGGCCCACTATCTTGCTAGGTCCGACAAGCTGGCTCATTTCCGCACACTTACTCTGGAGGCGACCAAACACTGGGAAGCTACTGGAGTCCCCTTGGAATCCATCCGGCATCTGCGTTGGGCCTCCCGCAAGGCACACGAGCGCCGGTCTGTCCACGCAGCCGGTGGTTTCGACATTGATAGTGAGTTGGAGGCCCAGTTCCGTGATCAGGAGGGGGCCAGTCTGGTCAGCCCAGTGCAGCTCTCCAGCGCCGCTGAGCGATGGATGAATGAACCGCGCCTCCCGTGCGCCGAGGCGGTTCCCACCCTCTTGCAGATGGAACAAATGTGTGTCCGACAGGCGGCCGCCAAGGCCCCAGGACCAGACGGACTGCGGAACGAGCTCTGGCGCGCGCAGGGAGCCTCAGCAGGGCAGTGGCTCTGGCCCCTGTGCGTGCGCATCGCTCTCCAAGGAAGGGAGCCTTTTGCCTTTAAGGCTGCCATTGTATGCGCCCTTTACAAGAAGGGCCCTGCCTCTCTTCCTGCCAATTACCGCTCTATCGCGCTATTGAACGGCATCGCGAAGCTCTGGCATTCGCACCTGCGCTCCACTGTGGGAGGCCACGTCTTGTCGCGATACGAGCCTATGCAGCTTGGGGGCCGCAAAGGTGTCCACACAGGATTTGCGTTGGCCGCCTTCCGTTGTGCCTGGGACCTTTCCATCTCTGCCGGCCGATGTGTTGCCGTGGTCTTCGTCGATATCCAGGCCGCGTACTATGAGGCCAGCCGGGATCTCCTCTTTGAAGGCTTCCCTGATGACGTTGCCCTGCCAGAGCATCACCACCTTGCTGGGCTGGTTCTCAGCCTTCAACAACAAGGGGCCCTAGCTGCCTTGGGTGTTGCAGAGGACGTTGTTGCGCTCCTCCGTGACTGCGTCGCCCTCTCCCACTGGTCACTCTCTGGCTCTTCCAACATTTTTCTTGCGTCACGGGGGTCTCGTCCAGGTGACGGCCTAGCTGATATCCTTTTTGGGGCCCTCTTCGCTGTCGGTCTTCAGCATATCCAGCGCGTTGCCACCCGCCAGGGCATTGTTCACACCAGCGCCGGCGCTGAAGTCGGCCTCTCCCCAGGGGTCAAGCCCATCGGCTGGGCTGACGACCTTGCGGTTATGGCCGATTTTGACCGACCAGCTGATCTTCTTGTTCAACTGCCCGTGCTGGTCGGCATTATCCTTGACACTCTCCGACTCCTCCGATTTCGTGTTAATTTGGGTGCGGGTAAAACTGAGGCCCTTGTTGACATCCGGGGGGAGGGCGCTCGGGCGGCCCGCGGAGCTCTCCTCACTGGTGATGCCATGTTAAAGATCTCTGATTCTGACAGCATCAGGTTGTGTCCCGAGTATAAGTATCTGGGTGTGGCTCAGCTGCCTCGGGATACGGGCCGCCGCGACTGTGAGCTTGCCGCCCAACGAGGCGCCGCTGCGGCCTCCCTTGCCCGCACCCTCCTCTGCAGCAATTGCTTGCCCTGGGAACTTAAACGGGCTTGGGTCGCGGGACGAGTCCTGCCCTCCGCGTATTCCTCCCTTGCTATGTCCGGCCGTGCCACGGCCCCTCTCGCTGGCCTCTTCGATCGCACGGCCAGGATCCTGTTGTCCTCATGGCAGGTCGGGCACAAGCTCACCACCCCACTGCTTCGGCTCCTCGCTGACATTACTCCTCCTGACCTGGCTACTACCATCAGTCAGTGTCGCCTTTGCGTCCAGCTCTTCTGCAAAGCACCCACAGCGGTGCGTGAAATCGTCGACGCGGCGTGGAACAGGGCCCTCCCTTGGTGCCAGGCCCTCGTTGCAGCATGTATGAGGGTTGGCGTTGCGCTTGAAGTTTGGGACCCTAACTCCCCCCCCGCCGTCACGGTTCTGTTTGTTCATACTCACAGCCGTGCCCTCCTTCGCGCCTGCAAGGCACTCAGCAAGTTTGGACATAGGTACTTTGCCTGTGCACAGCTGTGGGATGACCTCTCTACCCGTAAGGCCACCCAAATTCTAGGACCCCCCCAGGCCCATCGATGCCCGGTGTGCAGCATCATCTTCCCGAGCCTGCACGCGGTCAGAGCCCACATGCATCGCAAACATGGCGTGCTGTCCGATGTGACTGCTTACATGGCCGGCTCTGTTTGCCTCTGGTGTATGCACGATTTCCACTCTTCGGATCGGCTGAAATACCATCTGCAATCCCACCGGGCCTGCTTGCATGGACTTCGGGTGACGGTAGGGCCTGTCTACCAATATGGGTCGGGCACCAAACGCAAGGGTAGAACGGCCCACAGGGGTGTTCCCCCACAACGCCTATGCGGGCCCTGCAATGCCACCCCAGCACAGCGTCGGGCCGCGGATCTGGGCCTGCCTGCTGATGAGGAGGAGCTGCAACAGGAGTGGGATGCAGTGCAGCGCCCACCGGCCCTCTCCGACCTCGTCCCCGGCAACCTGCAACGTCACAGGGTCCTCCATCGCTGCTCCGACCCCTGCCGGACTTGGATCTCTCCAAGCTACGGCTCCAGTTTCGGAGCCCTCTCTGTCTCGATCTTTGCCATTTGTGGGTTCCTTGCCCTCTTGGTTCTCCTTTGTCGATGGGGCCGCCTCAGGCAAGGATTGGGCTCTGCCTACACCCTGGTGGCCCGGGCTTCTCGCCATGGGTGGGGTCTTTCGGCTTCCCCCATCGTGGCATTGCTTCTGGCCCCTGTGGTCAGCCTTGGAGCTCCTTGCCCCTTGGGAGTTCCGGGCCTTCCGGTCGCTTGGCGTCCTCCGTCGCGCCTCGTCTTCCGGGCTTGGTGCTCCTGTGTCTCTTGGCGATGCGACCTCCGGCAGATGGTCTCTGTTGGGGATTGCTGCAGCCTTGATCTCCTTCCGCATGTCCTGTAAGGTTGTTCTGCGGTTTGGCGCCCTCTGGATTCCCGGGCGCCCCAGTCAACAGGGCCTTGTCCTCTTGCGGCGGCTGCTTCCTTCTGCCGTCTTCTTGGACTTCTGGTCCCCTGCTGGTCCTGTTTTCCTGGCTGCGAGCTCTGCTTCCTTGGCCTCGTCTGCTCGCGCCATCATTGCCGGTTCTGCTCCTGCGGCCCCGCCCCCGCTTTCCTTGCGGGCTTTCTGGGCCTATCCGGCTGCCTGAGGCCTTTCGTTTTGTACAGGCTCCCACTTTGTTTCTTTCTAGTTTGGCTACGATCCTACAGCAGGATCGTTTTTGGCCGTGCATGCTTTAGTTAGCACAGGACTCCCCTCTGGCATCAGTGAAGTGAAGTGAAGTTATCTCCCGACTTATCAGACCAAAAGGGTAAAACCATCAAAACGATATCCTGGAACCTAAACATACCTGAACCTTAACCCCTGAAACCATTGGGTGAAGCCCAGGAACCCTAAACCCGGAACCCTTCAAGGGAGTCTGCTTTCTAGGTCCTTCAAGGAGTCTGCCTAAAGCCCCGTTTGGTCCCTCCCAATCAAGCCACCAAAATCACCGCAAAAGAACACAAATTGTGCAGTCTTCGTGCCTTAGGGTTCCTAAACCCTAAACCCAACCCTCATAGATGCCGTTCAAGAAAGCCTAAACCACTCAGCGTATCTAAGTCCGGACTTGAGCTTCAAACCCGCAGGTAGTTTAAAGGGCTCTGAAAGACGTACTATCAGGGTTCCGCATGGGTTCTGTGCCTGGAGACTCATACCTCATACCCCCGCCCAATCTTTTGGATGTCTAGGTTTATGGTTGAGACCTGTTGTATAGACAAGTAAAGTAGATATCCTGAAAAAGTGCTATAGGGTATGAATTCGCAACCTCAGAATGACATTGGGGCTACTATACGATCGAAAACCCAACATGAAACTTCTGATTTTCCCGCAAAACACATACCGCCAGGATAGTCTGCCGTGCAACCCCTGTAGAAGCGTATGAAACGTTTTAAACCCTGCAACTTCAGACACATTCCGCATATCAGCGTCAAGCCGAAATCTTTGGGGCTTTAGGGCAATTCAAACCCACGGCCACGCTGCTCTAACTTTTCTGGTATCGAATATAAAGCTCTTGCTGAAGGCAAAAACTGACTGTGGCTTCGGATCCGAGTGCGTACTGAAGTCGAGCTCGAATCGAACTTCCCCAAAGGGAGTTGTAAGAAGGGCTGCCCAGTAGAAGTAGAATTAGCGCGACCTGCATGCGGGCACTGATACTCCATAAACCTTAAACCCCTATGCCCCAAACACCTCAACAACAGCCCAGGTAACTACCCAGGTAGATCAGTGCGACCTTTGCTGTCACTATCAATGCGAACGGACCCTTTCTAGACTAGGTGATTCTTTGTTTGTATCTTCTTGTTGCTGCATTCGTTTGTGCTCGCGCGACATACACCGAAATCTTCCTGCCTTTGACTGCACAGGCTGTGGCTGCTCGTTTCGGCATTCCCCGGCTGTGTTGGTCTTCGGCCGGTCTGTGGTTACACCGTACGCTAAACACTGGGTTGGCCTTTAAACACCCTGAAAAAAATAAATAAATATATATATATATATATATATATAGGGTCCCTTATAAACCCAAATAAGGAAAATACAAAATGTCCCAAAATCCAACCTAGAACAATAAAGTAGTTCTGACTGGAGGGCTGCCCTTCGCTCTTAAGAGGTCTGAAACCTGAGTGAGACAAGCCTGGTTGCACCGATGTTCACAGCGGCCCCTATAATAAGGATTCTACTATTTAGGGTGCTATATTAGGGTCCCCTATTTTCGGAAACTCCCATATAAAGGGCCTCGGGCAAGGTTCACATTTAACGCTTTCCCTCACTTTACCCTCCTCTCAAGACTTGACGATACACGAGTATCAAACAGCCGGCGTTCGGAGACTCCCAACCTTGTTGAACCTCCTGAACCTCCTGGACCCAGAGCATCAGCTCCTGAACTTAAGCCGAGTCTAGAAGAAGTTAGTTACATAGGTCTGGCTCATGGGCCGGAGTCCTTCACAAGTAGGGTTCTAATTGCGTAGGACCATGATAGTAGTGATGATGACCCCCGATGAGATACTCCTCACCCGCACCTACTAATCAAGCTTTAAATGTCCTTCAAGAAAAGATTTACCGACAGACACTGAGCCTTACACTCTCCAACTCGAAAGAACTGATTTGCCCAATGCCGGTGCAAGCACAATTATTAGACCCTCAGAATAGAACGAACACACGTCAACTGAGAAGCATACAAGAGTCTTACAGTGTCGCATAACAGAACTAGGATCACACCCTTAACTTCCCTACAGTCGGCAAAACATCTGCGCGTGTGTCTCTTGCACGCGATCTCGGCGGTGTCCTGACGATGCCTGCAGGCTGTATACCAAACAAGGTCCGGTTTGGGGCGCCTACGGGCTCTGGGCCCAGTAGGGTCGGGTAGGGCTGTAGGGCTTGGGGTTGGCTTCCCAGGCAGGCAGGACATCAAGAAAGCCACTGCGGAGCCTGGGAAGGCCCTGTGTTCTGTGGGTTGCACAACCAGGCTCAGCTTCGATAGCCGGAAGCGACAGAGAAGATCAAACTAATTCATGGCCAAGCTGAGTGGCTTGTAGTGCAGAGCGTAGATGTGTTACAGGATGAACCAGGCAGGCATCGGCAGGGCGCAAACCCCTAAAAACCCGAACCCATAGCCCAACACCCTGGACCCTCCACCGAAAAGCCCTGAGACCCAGCAAACCCCAAACCCCTCACACCTAAACCGCAGATAATCTTAACCCTGATGACCTGCACATTGCACAGGGCCATGGGTCGATGCTTGGGCGAATACAGGGGCCTTGACTAAAGATTAAATACAAAGACAGGCTCAGGGGGGTACAATATAGTATAAGTATGAGCTGAAAGGGGATAAAGGTTCTATGCAGACTCCTCGAATTCAGCCGATTCATCATCAGAAGGACCCCAGACCTTCAACTCAGCCATGATAGATCGAGATCTCCTCCCTGTAATCGCTGACAGCGCACGCGCAATCAAACAAAGTGCAGAAAGAAGTGGTACCCTCTTGATGCTGCCCTTTGTGATACAACCGCCCAGATGAAAATGCTAAAAATTTACCCACTTACTATCTGGGTGGTTGTACTATACCCTAATTTAGACAACCACCCATCTCTTGGCCCTCACCATCCCGGCCATCATGCATCGTGGGTATCTTTGTCATTGACACCACAGCCGTCATCACCAGCAGAAACACCACCGCGACATGAACATAGTCATCATTTTCAACATCACCAGCCCAGCAACATATCCTCATCATCCTCCACGTCATGTCGTCGTCAGCATCATGGGGATATAGGTAACAGCCTTTTGCTTCTGGATGGTGCTAGATGATTGCTATTTGAACATCTTGTGACTGGAATGCCGACCAGCAGAGTCACCTGTTGTACTGATAGCTGTTGGTATTTCCGTTGCCCCGTGCATAAGGCAATAGCTCCTCTTGTAGTTCTGCTGCTTCCGCTTTCCAGAGTTTGGTGTGTTGCAACCACAAACAATTTTTTGTTTGAGGGTACCACATAGGGACCGTGCTATTACGTTGCAGATCCGCTCAGGAGTGCATCTTTGCTGAAGGAGCCGCTGAAAATGCTCAAGCCTTCTGTTCCAAGGTAACAGTCTCGATATGCGTGCATATTCAGGAACTAATGAGCAGATATGGCATGCATGTTGCTACCAAACTTCTGCACATATCTGCCCATTCATAAGAGGATTGAATTTTGGAGTGCAGTTCCGGGTACATCAGCTGTCAACATATGACAGGCCCTTGTGAACGCTTGTCATGATGCATGTGGGCCATATAACCCTGAAGCAAGTGGCAGTAGCTTCTGAAAACTGTCCTGCGTAACAGGAAGTCTGACCGAAACATCTGCTCGTGTTCGATGGTGCTCGGTCGCATGTCAGCAGGAAACCCTAAGGGTCCACGCACCAACAAAGTATATACTTGCGCCCTAAAGTACCTAAATAGGGATTACATGCAGCCCAAAGTGTATACTATATGAACATAGAGCCGAGGTTTTCCGAAATATTCATCTGTGGAGTTCTTCGACCCTGAATGAACGAGTACCTACATCCTTAAAAGCCCCGAGCACAATTCTGATGCTTCACGGAGGCGAAACAGTAAATGCAACTCTGAACCATGACCTCAACTCTTAGCCATGACTTCGGAACCTAAACCCTAAACCCGTTTAAGACCGAAGAATGTCCTGAACCCATGGCCTAGATCCGGGATACCAGCAAACTGCAACGCACTCCTGTGTGCTGCAATTCTGAACTGAACTCATCTCAAGCAGGATAACGACAGATAACAACTAAACAACAATTCGCACATGTGCTTCCAGTAATAGTCGTCGTAGCAGTAGTAGTGATAGTAGTGATAGTAGTGATAGTAGTGGTACTAGTGGTAGTGGTAGTAGTAGTAGTAGTAGTAGTAGTAGTAGTAGTAGTAGTAGTAGTAGTAGTAGTAGTAGTAGTGGTGCTAGTGGCAGTGGCAGTGGCAGTGGCTGTAGTAGTGGTAGTGGTAGTGGAGTGGTAGTAGTAGTGGTAGTGGTAGTGGCAGTGGCAGTGGCAGTGGCAGTGGCAGTGGCAGTGGCAGTGGCAGTGGTAGTGGTAGTGGTAATAGCAGTGGTAGTAGTAGCAGGAGGAGGAGGTAGTAGGAGGTAGGTAGTAGGTAAGTGTGTACATGGTCGGTAGTACGTGGCAAGTTGCAGGCAGGAGGTAGCAGGTAAGGTAGCAGGCAGTAGGTTGCAGGGAGTAGGTAGTTGGGTAGCAGGTAGGAGGTAGTAGGCAGTAGTACTAGTACTACTCGTAGTACCAGTACTAGTTGTCGTCGTCGTAGTCGTGGTAGAAGTCGTCGTCGTGGTGGTGATAGTAGAAATGGCAGTCGTAATAGTAGGAGTAGTAGTAGTAGTAGCAGCAGTTGTTGTTGTTGTTGCTGCTGTAGTTGTTGTAGCCGTACCTGATCGGCATGGTCGTGTAGCTGTAGCCGTCGCTATAGTACCGGCACTACTACTAGCAGTAGCACCAGCAGTAGTACTAGTACCAATACGAGTGCCAATGCATTTTAGTACTTATACTAATGTGGATGCAATGTTTTAGATTCGCGCTCTAGTGCTAGTGAGGGTACTGTCAACAGTAGCATTGAGACAA